AAAGAAATCACTGCTAGTGTCTCTTTTGGGGAGGCCATTTTTGGGGTCTTTTAGAGAAGATTGGGAACTCCAGGCACTTGGCACCACACAGTCAGCTCCTCGCTGCCGGTAACACTCTCCTGGAAAATTATAAACGGGAATCCCCGGATTGTCTTTTGCTGGGTTAATTAATAGGACGTGAGCACTAAAAGCGCGATGGGCTCTTTGCCACTCGCCCCCAACCCAGCCATCCTGGCAGCTCAGCGTGACCACCCCCGCTTTCACTGCCTGGTGATTACTCTCCCGGGGGGCAGACTGGGGATGAATTCCCGTTCTCCTGCAGACGCTGGCGCGGAGCATCCGCGGAGCATCCGCGGAGCATCCCCAGCGCATCCCCAGGGGCTGCGGCCGCTCCTGCCGCACATCCCAGGGAGCCGGGGCTCGCTCCGTGCCCGAGGGACGCGGGGGATGCTCCGGGCGCTGCCCCGGACACGCAGGGATGCGGGCTGGGCATTCCCAGGGTTTCCCCCACGCTGGGTTGTTTGGAAAAGGAGGAACGCGGTGCGAGGTGCCCCATAGACCCACAGCGGAGGGTTTTGCTGGTGGCTGAAATCTGTACGAATTCCACGGAATTCTGCGGGCATTCCGTAGGATCGTTTTGCTGTTAGCTGAAATACCCCTTTTCCGCGTGGTTTTACGGGTTTGACTCAATTTGTAGTCGGGGCACCGAGGAAACGCCGCCTTTTAGTTCGGAGCCGAGATATTCAGGGAGATGAAGCAGAGGTTTAAAATCCACGTGGCTCCATTGGAAAAAAAAAAAAAAAAGCAACAAACCAAGAAAACAAAAGTAACCTCCATCCCTCCATCCTTCCTTCCATCCTTCCTTGCTCCACAGGCCTGCTGGGAAAGGCGGCCTTTGGCTTCTCCCTCTCGCCCGCCTGAGCCCCGGGGAAAGTTGGGCGAGTAAGTTGGCGGAGCCGGAGGGAGGGCGGCACAGATCGATTGGCGAGTTTAATAGGATCAGGTCAGTGTAATCCTGTTTTAGCCATTGTAATTCAGGCAGCCAAGGAGACCTCAAACTATAGGGGAAGGGGCTTTTAAAACCTCCGCGGTCCTGCCACAAAGCCAGAGGCTGGGGCCGGGACAAAAGCGGCAGAGAGGATGAAGTGGCTTGAAATAAATAGATTAAGGCTCTCTATGGTCCAGGCGTAGCGGGAGGGAGAAAAGAGCAAGCGAGGGGCGGGCGAGCATCCCGCGGCGGCGGGAGGGGACGGAAGGGAGCCGGCACCCCGGGGGGACAGGGGGTGGCCGGGCACAGCGTCCCCTCCCGGTGCCGCCCCCTGCGCGCCGCCCGCGCTGCCGAAGGGCTGGGATAGGCAATCAATTTTTATGGTGCAATTTATAATTCATACAGGTTGTCTTCGTACATATGGTGTTGCTTTTGTGTGTCAGGGTGCCGGGTGCTTTATGACGGCGGCGGCGGGGATTCGCTTCCCGGCCCCATGGGAGATGGATCCGGCCCCGTGGGACGCCCCAGGGGTGGGGGTCTCTTCCGAGGGGGGCTGGGAGGATGCTCGCTCCTTCGGGAGGGCATTCCCGAGGCAGCGCAGCCCCCGGGTGTTGGGGTGCCCCCCGCACCCCCGGCCGGGCACAGCGGGCTCCCTGCGGCATCCCGGGGCCAGCAGGGACAGGTACGAGGCACGGAAAGCCCCAGCCCGGCCGGTCCCGGCGGAGATAATGAAACCGATTTGGGCAGGACCAACAGAACCGAGGCAGCGCTGCCGACTTCGGGGGGCTCCGGGCAGAGCCATTCGCTGCGGCCGGGGGTGACCGAGGGGGGATTCAAAGGCGCTGATGTCTTATTTAACAGCGAGGCAGCGCCATCCCAGCCCCGCTGCCGAGCCTCAAAAATCCACATTTCTGGCTAAATCTAAAGCCGGGCTTTGCTGAGGCTGGCGGAGGAGCTCTCCGTCCCCTCCGACTTTGGGTTTGCCGGCACCGCGGCCGCGCTCCCCGAGCACCGCGATTATTTGATCTGCAGATGTAAGAGGAATTTATTGTAACAACAAATATAGTGATGTCAAAACCCAACCTTGGATTAAAGCCGGCAGCCAAAGGGGAAGTGTATTAATTTCAAACAGCATCAGAGGCCAGTGCCTATTAGGACGAGCTATTCTTCAGACCCCCCCATCAGAATTAATCATTGGGAGTTAATTTGAAGCTCAGACAAGTTGCTGTTAATTTAGTGCAGGGAGGACGGGATGGAATAAAAAGCTGAGGTGCTGGCCGGGCCTCCTGGGTCTCATTAATCAGCGAGCTGAGACGGCCTGGCTTGATTACAATTTGCAAAAAAATTCATTAGAGCCCGGGCGATTGACAATTTTTCTCTCTGCCTGTGATCTGACTCATTAGGCAGCCAAATGAAAGCCATGATGATGGTGATGATGACAGCTATCAACCCCCTCGCTTGTTTATCTCCTTCTCCTCCGGCCCCCGGCCCGGGGCTTCCCCCTCCAGCCCCGCTCCGGGTTAAGGGGGGCAGCGGGGGACCCCAGCCCGCCGAGCCCGTGACTGCCACTGCCCGGGGCTGCCAGGGAGGGATCCCCGGCGGGGACGGGGGAGCAGCAGCTGCTCCTCCCGAAAACCCCGCACTCAGCGCCGGGAGGGGGCACAGCCCGGTCTGGGGGAGCACAGCCCGGTTTGGGGGATACAGCCCGATTTAGGGGGCACAGCCCGGTTTGGGGGGTACAGCCCGGTTTGGGGGGTACAGCCCGGTTTGGGGGGTACAGCCCGGTCTGGGATGCACCCCGTTCTGGGGGTACAGCCCGGTTTGGGATGCACAGCCCGGTCTGGGATGCACCCCGTTCTGGGGGTACAGCCCGGTTTGGGATGCACAGCCCGGTTTGGGATGCACAGCCCGGTTTGGGATGCACAGCCCGGTTTGAGTGGTACAGCTCGGTCTGGGATGCACAGCCTGGTTTGGGATGCACCCCTTTCTGGGGGCACAGCCGGGTTCGGGGGCACAGCCGCGGCCGCAGGCTCTGCGCTGGCCGGGCAGCCCCGAGAGCCGCCCGGGATCAATTCAAGCAATTCCAGGGATGATTTTTTTTTTTTTTTAGAAGCAGCGCCGCGGGTGGCGTTTGTCCCACGCGTGTCCCGCGGCTCCCGGCGTCCCCCCGCGCGAGGAAGAACGTCCTCCCAAAATGTTATCATCATTATAATGAATATTGGAGGTTTTTAAAGCTTTTTAAAGCAGGCTGGAATTGCGCGTGTTTTCCCGCTGCTCCCCGCGTGTCCGCGGCTGCCCGTGGGGCTCCCGGCGATGCTGGCCGGGCTTGTGCCTTTTTGGGGAGCTGCTGGTGGGGACGGGGACCACCCTGTGCACCCCCGGAGCCGCGGCGAACCCGCTCCGACCCAAACAAAATCATATTAACAACATTAATTATTATAATTATAATAAATAAGTGATGAAGCGCGAGCGATGTGACGCGGCCAAGCCTGGCAGTCTGTCCCGGGACCGAAGGACCCCCCCAGATTTAATTATTTAATTTTAATAGACCCCCGAAGGGAAGGGAAGGGAAGGGAAGGGAAGGGAAGGGAAGGGAAGGGAAGGGGGGGACGCGGGACCCTTCGGCCCCGACCCCTCCCACCCCCGATCCGGCCCCGGCGCAACGAAAACGGGCGCGGGGCTGGGGGGAGCGGCTGCACCCCCCAAAAAAAACCCAAAAACGGGGCCGGGGGAGCGACCGGACCCGCAAACACCGGGCTGGGGGATGGGAGAAGCAGCACAGCCCAAAAACACGGGGTGGGGGCAGCGGCTGCAGCCCCGAGCAGGGGTCAGCGCCGGGGGAAGGTGCGGGGGTGCTCTGCCCCCCGCCAGCCCCGCTCAGTCACAGCTAAACAGCTTTTCTGCAGCTTTCTCATCCCTCAAAATAAGGGAAATAGGAGAAAATTAAAAAAAAAAGAAAAAAAGAAAAAGGAGAAAGTTTTCCACCCGGCTCCCCCCACCCCGGCAATAAATGTGGCTTCGCGAAAGGAAAAAAAAAACCAAAAACACAAAAGCAGAAAATCAAAAATACAGGCGAGAGCAGCATCGCTCCGCTCCGGCAGCGCAGGAGGGGAAAGGAAAATCAGCTCCACGCCAAATCCTGGACAGAACAGCCGGGGGCTGGAGGGCTTTTTTTCTGACTTTTTTTTTTTTCTTATTAAGTCTTTTTTGTTTCTTTGTCGGTTTTTATTCACAAGACTTAGTTTGCTTTTAAATTTCATAACTTATAAGGAAATAAGCTACATTGAAATAAATTAAACACAATAGTGAAGACCGTGCTGCTTTTTTTTTTTTTTTTTACCTTTGGCCCCCGAATAAGAAAAACCCCAAAGATGGCGAGAGGCGCCGCGGTCTCGCTGGGGATGCTCCGCCGAGGGGGATCCAGCGCCGGCTCCGCTCCGCGTCCAAGGGCGTGCGGAGCGGGGCAGCCTCGCAATAAATATCTCTGTGTGTCTGTGGGGGGTGGGAGGTGTTCGTGTGTCTCTTCCAGCCGGGATATCCCTGCTCCGAACCCAAACAGTTTCCAAGCCTCTTCCCCTCGCCGTGAGCGGAAAGTTTCGCTTTAAAGTTCGCCCGAGGCGGGGATTTGCCAGGCGCTCGCGCGGGGTTCTTTTTTATTTCGTGTTGGTTTAGTATTTTTTTTTTTTTTTTGCGGGGGGTTTTTTTTTTTTCGGTTTTTGGTTTGGGTAGTTTCCAAGCCTCTTCCCCTCGCCGTGAGCGGAAAGTTTCGCTTTAAAGTTCGCCCGAGGCGGGGATTTGCCAGGCGCTCGCGCGGGGTTCTTTTTTATTTCTTGTTGGTTTTGTATTTTTTTTTTTTTTTTGCGGTGGGTTTTTCTGTTGTCGGTTTTTGGTTTGTGTTTGTTTTTTTGCTTCTCTCGTTTTTGTTTCTGTGCGGGCGGGTCGCCTTCAAACCCCGGGTTGGAAACTTTTCCCGTTAAAACCTCGCGGCTCCGAGCGCGGGAGGAAGGAGAGATCAGGGCCGGGCTTGCTCCAGCTGCTGGTGCTGACTCCTGATCGCGAACCTGCTGACGTGCACCGGGATGGGCACCACGATCTTGGGGTTCCGGGAAGGTTCCCCTGTCTTGGAGTTGGCGTTGCCCGCCTTGACCCGTTTCCATTTCGCCCGCCTGTTCTGGAACCAGATTTTCACCTGCACCTCGCTGAGTTTGAGGGCGTGAGCGATCTGGGACCTCTCGGTCAGGGACAGGTACTTTTTGCAGTGAAATTCCTTCTCCAGCTCCAGCAGCTGCTCGCTGGTGAAGGCTGTTCGCCTCCGCCGGTTTTTGCCCGTGGACGTGGTGTTGGTGGAGTTGGGGGGGTTCTGGGCGTTCTCCTCCAGCGCGTTGCCAGAGTCCTCTTCCTTGTGAGCCGCCTGGCCGGGGATGTTGTCGTCCGAGCTATAATCTAGATCGCTGTCCATGGAGAAACTTTCCTCCTTGCCTTTCGCGTCCTCCTCCGCTTTGGGGTCCTCCTTGCCCTGGCCCCGGAGAGCCCCGGCTGGAAGGAAGCAGAGGCCTCTGGTCAGCATCCCGCACCCTCCGTGCCGCGGCCCCCGCCCTGCGGCTCCATCGCCCCAAAACTGACGCCTCGGGGACCCTTTTTTTTTTGTTGTTTTTCCTCATCTTTTTTCCCTATGCACCGGCGCATCTTTCGGTCGCACCGATGTTAGCGATACCCTCCCGGGCGGAGCTCAGCCCTCCCTGCTCCCCGGGCCCCGTCTCCTCCCGGGGGTCCCCCCCATCTCCCGACCCCCACCTCCCGCTCCCCCCCGGCGCTCACTCACCGAGGGAAGCCTGGACGGCGTCGGCGGCGGGGAAGGGCAGGAGGGCCCCGTCCTTGCCCAGGAAGGCTTTGCCGTCGTCGCCGCCGCCGTCCGGGGGTATCCCCTCGGCTTTCTCGAAGTTGCCCGGGGGCGCGAACTTCCTGGCGGCCTCCTGGTGCTGCGGGGAGGCGGGGAAGGTGCCGGGCAGCGTGGCCATGAGCGTGGAGGTGAGCGCCATGCCCTGGGCCAGGCTGGAGCAGAAGCCGGAGGGCAGGCTGGGCAGCTGGTGGTGGTGCGGGTGCGCGGGGGGCAGCGCGGGCTGCAGCGCGCCCTGCGGCAGCGCGGGCGGCGGCGGCGGCGGCGGCGGCAGCACCACGGGCCGGTAGGGCATGAACATGGGGTAGCCGGTGTACACGAAGTGCCCGGGGGCGGGCGGCGGGGGGCTGCCGATCAGCGAGTCGATGCTGAAGGCCGTGCTGCTTCCCAGCGGGCGCTGCATCATCATCAGCGAGGGCTGGAAAGCCGCGCTCATGCCGGAGCGGCGGCGGGAGCGAGCGGGCGAGCGAGCACCTTCCTCCTCCTCCTCCTCCTCCTCCTCTTCCTCCTGCTGCTGCTGCTGCTCGGCGGCGGCGGCGGCGGCGTCCTGGCTGCCGTGAGCGCGGGGCAGAGCCGGGGCGGAGCGGGGCCGCGGCCCGGCAGCTCCCGCACCTCGGGGCCGCCCCGCC